ATACGAACCTAACGCATAAACGAATATACTCTAATCACTAATCCAAACGTTAACCACTACAACCGGTAGGGCGAAGACAAGAAGAGAAGGTGGACCATTAGCAGAAAGCTTTTACAGTCTTAACAATAGTTAAAACTGTTTACAGTGATGCCGAATGCATACATTCTGATTATTTAAAAGAGTTAACAACCAATCAGAGTTCAGTTTTCAAAAGCAGTGGGGAAAATAAAAAGGGGGGTGTGAAAGAGGGTGTGAAAACAGCAATAATAAAGTTATTTTAAGGTTACAGGAAAACATTAGCTAAAAGTGAGGCGAATAACATTCGAAACTGATGCTTATTTACCATGCGATAGGATGAAGAAGAAGAAGAAAAGAGAACAAGGTAAGTGAACAAATTGAAATCAATAGTACATCAATGAAAAAGGTGTGCTGCTCTTGATTATCGGGTAGTATCTATGCCAACAACTAACTTGTACATCAAATACCATCGACTTAAGAAACCTTACGTGAAAACAGAGGAGAAAAATTACATTAATTGGTCAGTAGAGAAAAGACCCATTTCATCCAGTCTAGTCCTAAGTCCTGATTGAATTCGATCGATCGGTCATTTTTGCAGTGCGGCCACCAAGCCAGAAGACTAATCATCCCCGTAAACTTTGATGAATGTTAGGTGATTGGAGGCAATCGATATTATTATTACTATTACCATTATTATTATTATTATTATTTGTCCCTTGGGTTCCTAATGGAACATAAGGCTTCACTAGGACGTCTCCATTCCACTCTCTTCTCTGCAATCTTTTCAACCTGGTTCCACGACAGCCCAGAAGCTCTCATTTCTTCCTCACAAGATCTCCTCCATGTCACCCTTGCCTCAGACGCCCAACTTGTCGTTTCCCATCTGGGTCCCACTTGAGGGCCTAGTGCATGATGGTCCCCAGTCGGCCTTCTCAGTGTATGCCCAATCCAATTCATCTCCACTTCCTTCCAATGCATATTTGTTGAGCGATAGGTTTTTGATTAGTTCGTTTCCAGAGTTCCTTGTTGCCTATTCTTATTATTCTGGCCATCCATCTGATCTTCAGTAACGAGCCAGCGTAGGCAGTTGTTGATGAATATATGTAGTTTGTTGGAAATCCCTTTCGTAACGCGCCAAGTCTCTCAACCACCACACAGAAGCACTGATTTGACGTTGGTGTTGAAAATCCGAATCTTGTTCCACATGCTGAGTGCAGTGCAGTGCAGTAGATCTCCACACTGGTTTCAGGCTAATGAACGCCTGTCCTACTTTTCCTATCCTGGCTTTGACGTCCTCGTCTGTGCCGCCACCTGTAGCTGAAACGGTGCCGCCTAGATAGGTGAAAGAGGCTAATTCCTTTTTCTCCCGTTGATGGTGATTGGAGCTTGTTGTTGTTGGTGTTGGTTGGGTATCATCATCACCTCTGTCTTCTCTACGTTCACTTTGAAGTCCTGTCTTCGCTGCCTCGTCTCTTCTGTCAACTTGTTAGTTTTTACGCCTGTACATCTTCAAGTCTGTGTGACATCAGATACAAGTCATCGGCGAAATCCAAATCTTCTAGGTTCTTTTCTGCGGTCCAGCCAGCGTATCCCCCCTCTTCTCGCTCCCCACTGTTTGTTGCATAATCCAATCGACCACAATCAGGAATATCATGGGCGGTAGTAGACAGCCTTGTTTTACTCCTGCCTTCACTTCAAAAGCATCACTGAGCTTCCCATTGTGAATTACTTGGCATGTGGGGTCTTCATATAGTTGCTGAATGAGATTGATAAAGGTTTGTGTCAGTAAAACCGTAGTGTTGAAGCAACTGCCAAATAAACCTACCGGTCGACACTGTCAAAGGCCTTTTCAAAGTGGATGAAGTTGAGGTAGAGGGTTGACTGTCATTCTATACTCTGTTCCATGATGATGCGAAGTGTTGCAATTCGGTCCGCATATGATTTATTCTTCCCGAACCTACGATTTTGTCCTTGTTAGCTAATTTGCATGCAAAACTTTACTACCTCAGAAAATACTTGTAATCACCCGAAAATATTATCTATACATATAAATGATAATGTAGCCTTTCCCAGAATTAGGAAACAATAATATATTAAAATTCAGCATCAACCAGTCAGCGATTTGCCTTAGTAAAAAGGACGAATAAATAAATTATCATTGTGTAGACAACAACAATAAGGTACAGCAGAAAAAAGTGAGAAAAGTTTTTGATTACTAGAGTATCGAAAGGTTGGATATGCTTTCCTTTTCAATATAAAGTACACCTCGAAAAAGTTTGATAATAATGGTGACTTCAAACGAACGAAGATTTAATTATCCCCCAAGTCGTGATCATTGGCAAAGCTTTCCTGATGTTCATATCATGTGCTGTATATACCTGATACTCGGTAATAGCCCTTATGAATGCTTATCTTCCTTTCAGTCGTTGATTCCTAAGAATCCATACAAGAAACTTCGTAGAAACCTATTTAGTCTTTCTGTTAAACTGCCTGTCGTAAGTACATTCCAAATTTGTATACACAATTTGAGATGAGACTGCAGGAGTACCGATCTACTTTAGATCAGTGATTGCAAGCTGCTAATAGATGCCGTGTTCATAGACTTCAGTAAGGCATTCGACAAAGTGTCACATGTGAAATTACTAGGAAAGCTCTCCTACTTCGGCTTCGGTGCTTCATTGCAAGCTTGGATTAAGGACTTTTTATACGATACAAGGCAAAGAGTAAGGGTAAATGGGACACTATCCAGGTGGAAACCTGTGATGAGTGGAGTTTCTCAAGGAACAATCCTAGGTCCACTACTTTTCTTGTCATATATCAACGAATTGCCAAATATGCTCAACTCTTCGGTACCCTTATTTGCCGATGACACAAAGATTTGGAGAGCCATACGCAGTCATGCAGATAGGTATGCACTTCAGGCGGATTTAGATGAACTAGTAGGTTGGTCCAAACGTTGGTGTTTGGAAATCAATTCTAACAAAAGTGCAATAATGCACAATGGTCATAGCAATTGTTTCCAGTATTCCGTTGATGGTACACCACTACTTCCAGTCCTTGAACTAAAAGGCTTCGGTGTCATCATCAGTCATGATTCGAAAACCTCAGCAAGCTGTAATGCAGCTGCAGCAAACGGCTTCCCTATATTATGGTCCCTCCGCAGAGCTTTCAAATGTTTCGATCAGGACATGTTTAGAATACTCTACTCTACTTACGTTAGGCCTCACTTAGAATACTGCATTCAGGTGGCCAGCCCGTGCCTAAAAAAGGATGCTGACACACTCAAGCGTGTTCTAAGGGTAGGTACTAAGCTTGTGGCAGGCCTTTCGAATATGTCCTATGAGGAGCGACTACACCAACTAAACTTATTCCCACTGTCTTACCGTAGAAGACGGGGTGATCTCATACTGGCATTTCGTATTCTTAATAATGACTTCGGTACTCATATGTCCTACCTTTTCTCCCTTGCTAGGACTGACCATCTTCGAGGGCATCACAAGAAAATTCTAAAACCGCGATCGAATCAACTCAGCGTGAATCTGCCTTTCTCCCATCGTGTTGCCAACGACTGGAACTCCTAACCTCAGCAAGTAGTATCAGCACCTTCTATAAACGCGTTCAAGGAGAGACTAGATCTTCACAGAGATATCTTCTGCAAGGATTAACACAGGCCAACTGGCCTACTATCCTTATAACTGAAAACTGAAAACAAACTGAGTTAAGCATGTAGGCAATGCAGGATACTGGGACTAGTTTGCTACAGGAAAGTGAAGTTTAACAGCTACCGAATTCTTGTTTCAATACATTATAAATTCTTGGCCTCCTTTAAACATAAGTGAGATGAAAATTGGTCTATTTTAATCACATTGTGAAAAACTTTTTTTTTAAACAGAAATTGAAATTCACGGAAAAAACCAATTTTATGAAATCTTCACATCAACCAATCAAATAAACGCAACTCAACCCACTACTAGGCTTTGAACCACGTGTTGTGTAAAGGCTCCTAATACCAGCCAGTCGCTTAGCTTGAAGTACGTGATGGAACCAATTACTGGAAAGTCAAATCCTTAAATGAATGGGTCACACTCTTCCAGAAATACAAACACTAAATTTATCATCAATTCACCATTACTCTTTGATACTACAAAGAAATATGGTGGATAAAACCACGTGGCAATATGGAATGTATTATACAGAGAAATAATCAAGTTAATAAGATTCTCAAATAAAGTTTAGATATGTATGAAAGTTAAAATAGGTTATGTTTCACTGGGTCTTGTGTACTACTGGAACGGTACAAGCGGTTGACACTTCCTAGGTAAAAGGTTAGTTATTCTTAGGGTGCCTAAAAAGAAGGAATAATGTGTGACCGACGAGCCCAAGGGATAATTACCTAAGCCCGGTTACACGTAGCCTTTTGACAATTTTGAGATTTTGCTTTCGAATCCTACTATGAATCCGTTTTAGGCATCGGCATGCCACGAACAGGTGGGAGTATGCTACACTTGGGGCCGACCTTTTCTAACCACTGCCCTCTTTCCCATAGGGGAGACAGCATCAGCGTAGCATTGCTGGTCATCCAAAAGAAATACCACAGTGCTGTCACATTCCATCCAACTAACAGCGGTTCGACTTCGCTCTTAGACCCCATCATAGTGTAGCAGTTTACACTGTAACGCCAACTTTTTTTTTGTCTTAGCACCATCCAATATATCTTTCTGGCACAGTAGGATCTCAAGGGAACAAGCCTTTCACTAGCATAGCTCATCGGGTCATTGTGATATGCAAACCCGACCACCAGGTCAAGGTAGCATCTATCGGTCGGGATTAGATATGTATTGTTTACGGAACCGAACCCCAAACGTGTTCCTACAGACATATGGTAAGTAGTCACAAGCAAATATGAGTATATATATGGAGAGAAAGATAAAGTTCACTTTATTGGCTTATTAAAACCACCATGAAAATAAAATGAAACTAACCTGCACAAGTTCTATAAAATCCCGACGAACTTTTCTCAAAGACTTTAAACACTTTTCCACTTCCTCATTCACCTTCTTTTCTCTAATTAGTTCTTCACAGATAGTTGAACCCAAAGATAGTAAATTCAGTGCATAATTAGTTAGACCAGAACGACAATCAATCTGCATAGAACGTTCTACTAACCATCTAGATATGATTTGAACTAATTCCAATGGATTGTTTAAACTCTCCCAACTTAGACGCAATGGAACAGAGAAATTACATTGAATCCGGTTCACATTTTGATCATCACAATTTTGAATGTCATCAACAGAATCCAATTGATTGAATGAATTTAATGGTAAACTGAAAATTTCTTTGAAGTACAAATTAGGATCAATTGTTTCAGATAAGTTGGATGCAATCACTAATCGATATAAACCAACAGATCTTGGAAAATGTTCAAATAATATACGTAAAGCAATGAATTGCTGACAATAAGCATAATTAAAGCCAATATCCAGCAATGAATGAGTACGAAATTTGTATAACATCTCTAGAATATTATCAATACATGGTCGAGAGGTTTGTTGACAAACTAGAGATAAATTGATTGATTCATTAGATGAAAGAAGTAACAACTCAGCTTGTACTATAGATTCAACACAATTGATATGAGTTGAATAAATTAAGAGACGATTTTGTACTGTCTCATACCAAAGGTCATCTTTACTGTGAAGAACATTACTACTCTGTAGCATATTCAAACCATAAGTTAAGACTAATCGCATACATGATAATAACAAACTGTAGTCTATATTGGATGGTACACATTTAGGTAAGTAATCTATGCATTGTTTTATAACCCATAATGGATGAATTTTAATTTGATCCAATGTCGAGTGAATAAATTCCTTGAAATTGTTTAACTTCCAGAATTCAATGCTTAATTTTGTCCACATTTGCTTGTAGACAACTTCTCTATTTTCTTGACTTGATGTGCATAGTTGTAAAGCTTTTGAAATTTTCCCATACGTAGAAAATGTTCAAATAAGCCATTATATGTTGTCGACTTAAGTCGAGTACACCTTACACAATGATTGAAGATTTGATTCTTAGATGAAGAATCCTGTGAAGTAACTCCATTCCCTGGGCTCGGTTTCAAACATGAAGATAATAGTACAACTTCAGATGGACAGTTTGCATGAGGACTACACAGAAGTAAAGAATGTGCAGCAAACACAGGAAAAGTAGACAGTTTTAAACCTTCAAGTTTTCTTGTAACTTTGGGATAAAACTCAGTGCCACATTTCGTTATGTCTAGCAAATCAATCGACCCATTCTCATGAAGAATAGATAACTGAACATCTTGATTTACTGATTCATTTGATTCTAACGGTCTGCTCCACCATGCAATCCGAAAAGCTTTAGTATGTGTACCAGAAATCTGATCAGATGGGACCATCGAAAGACTGGAACTTCTCTCAGGATTAGCGATTAAAAATAGTAGCTCAAAAGACGGGACCAACCAAACTGAGTATGAGCCTGAGGAATGAAGACTACCGAGTAGTAATTGTTTACATGAATCTGAAGATGCTAAGGTTGGAAGTGAAGTCCCATTGAAATTTGCTAAAACCATAGACATGATTGCATCATGATTTTCAATGGGTAAATATCGATTGCGACGAAAAAGAGTACATAACAGTTGAATTGATAGATCTTTACATACTCCGTAAAAAGTGTTCATTCCACGCGGTACTGTATCAGACATTAAAGAGCTTGAAGTAGGGATTAAATAAGGTGCCTTTTTAGATACATAGAAGCATGTTATTCCAAGCTTTCGATGCATTAACTTTGATGCCTTGGATACACCTATATCAGGTAGACTTGATAAAACAAGCAAATTAGAAGACAAATCGAATACACCCGATAAAAGTGGAGAAGATAGAGAAGACTTGCAATAGTCGACTGGATAAATCCTCATCATCATACGACCTGGGAAACTTTTTGCCTTCCAATCTAAATGCCATAAATCCACATGACCTCTGAAATGACCCACCAAAATGTGTGAAACATCAATAAATGTTAGTAAGACAATTGGAAAGAGAGGTTTCTTGGAACTAGGAGAACAGTTTGATTGTGTGAATGGAGGTGGAATGAAAATACGACTACGTTGAATATTTTGACCTAAATCCGGTTTCTCACTTTCATCAACTGATAGGTCGATTATATCGATAGAACCATTACTATAACCTATAGCAGTTAGATAATAAAGATTATCAAAAGGTGGCAATGAGTTTCCAGTTGATGAATCTAGTCCGAGTAATTCACAGGGTTTATATGAAACAAAGCTAACCATGCGCCATTGAGGATATGGATCTACATAACTTAAATACCATTTTCTTGTTATTTTAGAAGAATGATTGATAACAATTTGATTGACATCTGATTCATGATGTGCAGTGATCACACTAGACGATTGTAATAGTTCAAATGGTGTTATATCACTAGATTGCCTAAATTCTTTTATTGATGAAGAATTGAGACTTTGAAGTCGGTTTGGAAGTTCCATTAACTCTAACCAATGAGTGGCAACAAGACATAACGCCTGTCCTTGAATTGATTCAGACGAAAGATAACCTAATAGCCAAGGGCAGTTATTTTCACGTGAATGAGCATAGCTAACTAATAGTGGTGATAGTGGAAACCATTTGTTCATTACTTCTGAAATTTTTCTCCAACTAATAGAAAATAAGTTGTTTACTCGCGAAAATGACGCCAAAGAATTTTCTTTACAAACTGACGACTTATTATCGTCTAGCGGAATGGATAGTGATGAAGGATGTACGCTGGATAATGATATATTTCGACAACGTAACAAATTCGTAGCTACACAGTAACTATTGTCTACTGATAGGCTGGAATCCAAGTATATCGACCACTCGGCTAACTCGTCCACAATGTGAGGGTAATCCATCTGAATATGTTCAGCTAATTTCACATTTTCACTGACTGGATCTGAATTTCTAGAAAAGAAATTTTAAAAAAATCAACTATATTTCACAGTACACAGTGGACAATTTTAACCAATGATCTATATAAGTTGCTTTTTATGCTATCATGCACTCAATAGAAATATCCTGACCAAATAGACAGCTATATCATATAATCCAATTAGCAGTTCTAAAAATGTTTTTTTCTAATGGAGTATTCAATTATTGCAACTTCGTCATTGATGTACTAATGGATATAACCTTAGGTACGTCTGACCACAGAGATTGATCAACTCGCTGGAAGGCATCTGGCTGGCTTGGAGTATGCGGGCGATATTGTCCTCCCAGGTGAAGACAATGAAAAGAAGAAATGTAGTACGTTTGGAATACGTTTCACTGGCACCTGTCAAACGCAAGATGGCGCTTCAGGACCGGTATGCTGCATGTACTCCCAATTTAATGATAGGCAGTGAAGTGGAGGAATGTGTAGACCACTGCACTTACTCGCGGAGTTGCATCAGCTCAAATAGGGTGGCCGGCGACAAATGCTCAACTCCGATACACAAGGTCTGTTTAGCATCTATGGCCAACACTCACGAGATATCCCACTACCTATCAAAGTACGAGTATACTACGCCACTCCAGTCTATTCTGTCTTATCATATCACTGAATAACATGGCCGCTAAAAGTAGAACATATGAAGTGGTCACAAGAAATTTTATCAGACATATCTTCGCATTTAGCGGAATACCCATGTGACCAATGCCGAGGTAAGACTATTACTAGGCAAGAAAGGCAAGTCGATTGATGCGGCTGTCAACCTTCATCGGCTGAAACGGATTCAACATGTAACACGCATATCAAGTTACCACCTAACTCGACAAGCCATGCTACGGGAAGTTGGATTACGTTGGCGGAAGGCTTCAGGATGGTCAAACTAGTAAGTGGCACCAGTCGATAAAGCCTCTGGCTTTTGGTATGAGCCGTGTAGTAGGGAGATGTTGACTTCCTAGTTGGGGTCTCAAAGACGATTGGAATTAGTGAGGAAGATGTTTTCACTCTGTGACGTCTTCTAAACCTTAAATATTTGCACTTACCTTCACTTTCAAATTGTTTGTTCTCTCATGCAACTTTGTCTTTTTTGATACTACTCTTTTTCTATCCACTCCCTCTTCTTCTTCTTCTTCGTATACCGCTGTGAAGTGAGGCACCTTGAACTGATGCAGTTGTGTGCTAGGTTCCACCTTGATTCTGTTTCTCTGTCTGGTCTACTAAACAGTCTCTTGTGGCAAAGTCAATTTTTGTTCAATCATAAAGAGAACACGTTGATGACAAAACTAAACATGAATACAAAGAGTAGACATACTTGGTGTAAATCATTCAGTGTGCACAACCAAAGTGATACTTCACCACTGACTCCAAAATACCGCCAAGTATCCAGATACAGAGCCTAACAATTTGTTACTGTATGGGAATGACCGATGAAGCACCAGGTGTCTGTGACAACTTCTAAAAACAGTAGTCTACAGAGGATTAGGAGTTGTAGCACAGTGACTTAAGGAGATGACTACCAACCATTGTGATACGACTTACAGCCCCGTTCCACCTATCAAGGTTTGGGTAGCCTGGTATCACTAACCCTCACACAATAGGTGTGGTTCATTGACTATTAGATGAATGTGCACAAGGTGGCTGAGTGCATTACGTACAGCAGACTACTACATGAAAAATTTTATTGTTGGTCATATAGTGATGGGTATGATAACCGACAACAATGGTTGGAAACTCGACGTAACACACCTCAAGATCGGTATCAGTGGTGCAGCGGTATTCACAAACCATCCTCATCTTAATAGTTCTATTGAATTCAACATCTTATTCTTTCTCCCTCTGTTTTACTGCTTTCTGATGCCTCTGGCAGGTTCTTTTCTATCTCTTATCTTATTGCTTTTTGCTTGATGTGCTGATATGAGGTGTGACAACTTGGACCGTTATGACGTAATTCCTGGTCTTATATTGATGTAGGTGATGAGGACGTGACAAAAGCTGAAGGAGAATTCACCGGTGATAGATTAACCCACGGATTACGCATTTAATTGTGTAGGTATGTATACAAGTCCAAATAATAATTCATATTCAACATAGTGTATATTGCAAAATTATCTATGAAATTTAGAAATTCCTATAGTGACAAACAAAACACCCGAAATCCAGTATACTAACCTTTCCATTCCAACACCCAACATCAATAGTGAGAGTAGAGGGAACTTGTAGTTTTTGAGCTCTCGCTTCTACGTCTTGATGCTCGGCTTTGTTCGGTTGTATTCCGATGGTCGCAGAAGTCTTTGCGTCTTTCTGCCTATTGCTTTAGAGGCAGCGATTGTCTTTTTAAAGGTAATTTATTTGCAAATCGTAGCTTGGTTTGTTTTGGAGAGGCAACGGAGTTGCTGATAAGACCAATCAACTGTTTGCAATTCCAGTTGTTGTAAGCACCTACAGGTAGGTATAAAGTGTCACTAAAAAAGTGATAGAAACAGGGTGAGCGGAGAATGAGAAAAATAGAAGTGAAAAGTACTTAGGAGAAGATAAATTTAACCGGTAATAATATGAAGTCTACACGTTGCGTTACAGTCACAAACAGCAGATAAATCCAACATTCAATATCTTTTTAAACAGCTTGTGTAAACCAGTTGATTTCTTCTTGCTCGCTTCTTGGTCTTGCGGAACGGTTCCAGATCTTTGGCGGATTCCGATGCAGTAGATCCAGCCACTCGTCTGCTATAGCTGTGATTTACAGAACAGGAAGTGAAGTGTTGGTTTGTTTGCCTTGGACTGTGGTGCAGTTGGCTTCTTCAGACGTCGAGTTGCTAGACAGTTGTTAGGACTGGTCGCTAGAGAAGGTTAGGGATAGTGAATAGAAAACCTAGAAAGTGTTTGTGTGTGAGCGAAAGAAGAGAGGGAAAGTGAACTAACAAAATAATCTACTTACACACAAGTAAAGTGAGTAGGGGTGCAAAAGTATGAAGAACTTAGGTAAGTGAGGCTAACTTACGGCAAGTGGAAGGGGTGAAAAAGGCTTGAATGGTTACTATGGAAAGAAAGCTGGTCGGAGTGGCTTGACATCACTTCGTGTTCCAGCTATGTGTGGGTAGACCGTGAATCTCTGCATGACTGTCTAGCCTCTTCTTGAGGCTTTCAACAGTTGGGGCGGAGATCACCTCTGCTAGCAGTGCGTTCCAGTGCCCACAGACTCGGAAGGAGAAGAACTGTGAACGCACATACGTTTTTCAGTCTATCCCTACATGGTTTTCGTCGCATTCCAACAACTTTTGTGGCTCGCCTCTCCACTTTCTCCAGTAGGTTCGTGCCTCCTTTCAGCTGTGGTGGAGCGAAGACGTTATAGGCCTCCAAGCGGGGCCGTACGTAGGTCTTGTAGAGCTTCAGGAAGAGTTCTGGGGTGAGGGCACCCAGATGTCCACGCACTAAGTGTAGTACTCCATATGCTTTTGAGACATCACCTGTGTAATCGGAACTGGTGTCCAGTTTCTCCATCCCCGTTAAACCCAGGTCCTTTCCTACTGTGGTATAGGATAGACGTGAACCACAGAGATAGTAGGATGTTCTCTGGGATCAGGAGTGTGGGAAACATGGACCGGCACTTGTCCAGATTAAATGCCAGTTCGTTATTAGTTTCCCATTCCTCTAGTGTTCTGAGGTCCTTCTGTAATGCCATAGATTCTGCCTCAAGTTGTTGCCCTCCATAACTTGACATCATCAGCGTATAGGAGAATCGGGAGCTGATATGTTGCGGCAGGTCATTCACAAACAGTAAGAACAACAGTGGACCCAGGATTGCTCTTTGTGAGACACCGGATGAGGATGTTCTCCAAGTTGAGTAGACCCTATTGACTTTCGTGCAGAACTCCCTGTTGTCTAGGTAGTTCTGCAGCCACGATAGCACCTGGCTGCGAATACCTAACCCAGCTATCTTATGTATTAGGGTCGTGTGTGAGATGGCGTCAAAGGCTTTGGTGAAGTCCAGAAAAATTGCGTGGACCGGACTTTGAGATCCCAGCATGCTGTCCAGTGATCACGGGCCGTCAGAAGGTTAGGGCACGGGACCTGCCCTTCCGGAAGCCATGTTGAGCGTCACTGAGTGCACATTTTTGTCCAGACATTCCCTGATACGGTCGTCCATCACACTTTCCATAACTTTTGATATTACTGGTAGAAGCGCCATGGGTCTGTAACAGTTGGGATTCTGTTTGTCTCCTCCTTAGATAGGGGAAAGGATAGCCCGTTTCCACCCTCGTGGGAGCTTTCGTTCACCCAAGGAGTGCTGGAAGAGGTCGCAGAGCGGGCCACTTAGGGTGCTTGCACATTCTTTCAACACAGATGGGCGGATGTCGTCGCACCCTGGGGATTTTCCCGCGCTTAGCTTTAACAGCTTGTCGAGAACAACGGCGCGAGTTGTCTGTATTTAGTGTAACTCAGCAGCATCGGGTAACGTTAGGGGCTGTTCGTGCAATTGGTATGCGCACTTTCTTGATGGAATGTTGAGCTGTGTGCCAAATGTGGTGCTCAGCATTTCAGCAATCTCCTGTCCAGAGAGGTTTTCTCCGTTCTGACCTTTTATGGTATATGCTCCTTGGCTTGCCGATCTTCTTTTTGCATGAATCGGTAAAGGTTTTTGAGGTTTACCTCAACCCTTTGACGAGGTTGAATTGGAACGACCTTCTGCTTCCCCGTTTCCGATTTTCAATTTAGCGTGCAACAACGTAGAATTCCAGAATCACGCTTTGCTTTAGAAATTAAACATTTTTAACCTATTTTGACCCCTTTTAGTAAATCTCTGCCTTTTAAGCCTCCTCTTAAACGTATCAGTTGGCGATCTAACGATGAACTGAGGCATTACCTTCAGTATCCAATATCCAATAGCTTTTTGCGAGCTAGTGTAAACCACTTGATTTCTTCACGCTTGCTCCCAGGTCCTGCACAACGGTCCTAGGTTTTTGGTAGATTCCGATGCAGTAGGTCTACCCAATTGACTGCTGTAGCTGGTTAGACCGAGGGACGGTTGGGTGTTGATTAAATTTACAGGAAGTGTTGTTGTTTGTTTTCCCTTCCAAGAACTGTGGCGCAGATGGATTCCCTAAGTGTCGTACCAGCATAAATCGGTCGGACTGGTTGTAAAAAGTAGATGGAAAATACGTCCAGAGAGAAAGAGTGCAGAGAAAGACAAACAGAAAAAGAAAAGAAAAAAGAAAAAGACGATTAGGAAAAAGGAGACATAGAGTCGGTAGGAAGAAGAGCAAATAATGCTGTGGGAAGGATTGGAACAGAGGTGGTAACTCTACTAGTCGGAGGCGGTACCTGAGGGGACGTCCACAGGGAAGTATGAGGTTGAGCCAGGTTCCCGGTAATAGCAGTGTTACAAAGTATTCGATAACGGGTCGGCCACACTGAGTCAGTAGGTCGTGTCAACCCAGTCCATATCCCAGCTGGATGAGCGCAAACCGCGCATCACTGTGTGACTGTCCAACCCCTTCTCAAAGCTGTTAAAGCCTTCGGGAAGCCAACTGGCCAATGTGTCTTCCCTTCTCTCTATGAAAGCCAAGGTAAGCATAGGGACATGGAATGTCCGAACAATGTTTGAACCTAGCAAGGTTGCCCAGATTCTCAAAGTGATGAGAAGATATGGCATAGAAGTGATAGGCTAGGAATCTGTGAAAACAGATGGAGTGGAAGTGGACTCACCAAACTGTCAACTGCACAGTCAATAATCTGCTCCGATATTGTCATCCAGATGACAACCACCAGCACACTGAGTTTTCGAGTTGCTATCATGTTGTCCCCCTCCAGAGCATCAAAGGCTCACATGCAGTGAGAACCGATCCACTCCACCATCACGATCATGACACCAAGATTCAAATCCAAGGGAAGGGAAGTCACAATCACACAATGCTACGCTACGCCGCGCCACGCCACGCCACGCCACGCACCTAAAAATAATGCAGACGCAGATCAAGAGAAGGAGGAGGAATTATACAGACAACTGCAATCAGCACTCGTCAAGACCCTAACCCACATAGCCACATCAAACTTCTAATGGGTTGGGTGACATGAATGTCAAACTCACAGCGGACAACACAAGAAGAGAACTCATCATGGGTCAAGAGACACTCGGTGAAACGATGAACAAGAATGGAGAACTGTTTACAGACTTCTGTGCATTCAACGATTTGGTGATTTGAGGTAGTGTGTACAAACACAAGGATATTCACAGTGACATGGATTGCATCAGACACCAGGACACACTAAAAATCACATCGACTTCATCTCAATCTGAAGTAAGTGTAAGCCCAGCCTACTGAACACAAAATCAAGATGGAGAGCAGATGTGGGTTCACACCACTAACTATCTAGTGCAATGAACCTAACTTCAAAGTCACGCTCAAAGCCTTCAAAGCAGTTGGTGATGATAGACCACAGCTCGAATTCAACACTCAGGACACAAAGTGGACTGAAGGACGAAACTGCAGAGGACATCTTCACGTCAGCCAGTCATCAGGACAAAATGGGAGATATTAAACAATATCTCTGAAAAAACCTACATGGAAAGACACTAGAACTTTGTGAATGCGACGTAGGAGAAAACCTGTATAACCGTGTTAGGAAGGAAGAAGAAGGGGCAAGACAAGGAATGGATCTCCACGGACACATGGAAGCTGATAGAGGAGGGAGAGGAAGATGGTGATGGTGAAGGAGAAGAGAAGATGAACCAGTGCAATGCATTGCAAGGATGAACAACGAAAAGAGGAACTGGATGCAACCTAACCCTAACACTACACCGGACAAAGAAGTGAAGAAGGGTGCGCGAAGTGACAAAACACTTCTACGACACATTTGCGGCTGAAGCGGAGCAGGCTGTTGGTGAGAGGGACAGAGACCGGACAACATTATATCAAATAGCCAGGCTATTATTCGGGAGAGGAGAGATCAACAGAGGTGAAACCAACGGACTATAGTGAATGAAAACCTAGTTACCACCAAAGAGGAGAAACAAAGAAAACGATGAGTTGGCCACTTCAAAAAACTCTTGAATCAGCCGCCACCACCTGCAACCAGGTCAGAAAGACCACCAGCGACCCAACCGCAAAACTATCAGTCAACACAAGCCCTCCAACAAAAGCAGAAGCTCTGAACACAATAAAGCTGATGAAATCCGGGA